AGAGGAGCGTTCGAAGAAAACATCCAGATATTTTCTGTCCGTTTACACACGCTTTTATGGCGCAGTCTTTCAGTCCCTCCTTCTGCATAATAGCTTAGCATGACGCATAACTAGTAATTCTATCTGCTTATTGAATTATGGACGTCAGTCAAGCTCAAAATACCCTTGTTGTCATAACAAGGCAGTTCACCTAGGGGAGAGTGTTGGTCGAGGAGTTCTCATACAACTGGTCGTGTTACAACCGTTAGGAGGGTTGCGATTATGAGAGAAGGGATCAGTGCTAACGAGTGCTGTTGACGCCTTTTCGAGAAACGGGCGAAACGTGAGCCAGTGCTGCAGAAGAGTCAGGTGTCTGCTCTGTGGAAAAGTTCCACAAGGAACCATTTCTTGCATTTTGAACTACTCCCCCGCCCTTCTGAATTATCTTTCACTCGCATACTTAGCTTTTGAATATCAGTAACCAAGTTGCAGTAGTCGTTCCAATCAATGAAACGAAGGAATTGTCATTTCGGTTTCTTGTGACCACTATTTCAAACTAAATCAGCGAATGTTTTATTCTTCTGTTTTTCGCCAACGACGGCTTTGTAGAGTTTAGCGCAACGTTCCAACCGTTCTCGTTGTCAAAGGCCTAAACATGGCTCAAAGCTTGGAGAATTGCACGCTATCCCATCCAAACGCCTTGTCCCTTCTAGCATTTCTGACGTCATCTCAGGATTATGCAAAAATACCCAAAAGTTGAAAAATAAGCTCACCGTGTTCCACCACAACAGGTTAGAATTTATAGTATAGTAAATGAATAAGCGAATGAGTGTTAGGCTGCGTTTATACTTTGCGGCAGCGTAGCGTAGGCGTACGCTGGAGGCGCTACGCTACGCTGCCGCAAAGTATAAACGCAGCCTTACTCTCCTTTATCAGGAGGCTCGTGTTCGTTTATCATGTATGCAATTCGCAATGTTCCATAAACGGTAATAGTCAATTCCGGTTGTTCATGCTCGGATTTCGTGCTGAAATCCAAAAGGCTTCCAGCGCTTTCCTAGCTGAAATCTCTGTCTCATAGGCCAAAATCGTGCACTTGATGTTGAAATCTTCGCCATCATGCTATTTTATGCTCCCCAAGGTGTTGACACATTATTGCGCCTTTTATCAGATAGATGTTCCTTGATACGGACTGATAAGACCCTTCCCGTTTCTCCTATGTATGTTGAATTACATGTCCTGCATTCAATCTGATAAATGAGGCCGCTGAGGCACAATCGCAAATATTGCCATGGGCATGTAACACAGTTCCCTGACAGGCACTGCTTATCGTAAAGCCTGTTCCTAACAAGTTTAAGGAGATTCCTAAAGACTCGAGACAGAGACTCCTTGTTTCTCCACTAAAGGGGAATGTTCATTCTCTCTGAATGGAGCATTTCTAGCCAGGTTCAGCAGGGAAAAGTAGACGTGCATTAGAAACTTTCCTAGCGTGGGCTTCATACCCATTTATGCAATGAGAGTACCACGACCTGTCATAAAGTGCTGCTACCGAGTATTATTTTTTACTGAGAAGCGTGTCAGGTATGACGGAAACTGGTAGCAAAAGTAACGGGAATAACTCAGATGTGTGACCTAGGTCCGCAAACAGCAAGAATAAGCCTTTTCGCGTCCCAAAAGTGAGCGCGACCCGAATTGAGGGCCCATCAGTTAAGCCCACGAGGCTCATATGACATGTCATGCGACGCATTGCTGTGTGCTCTCTCGCTTCCTCCTGTTCGACCTCGTACCCACACCTGAGTGTCTCTTCCTGGCCAATGTTCCAAGTCATTTGCACTCATTTTTTTCATTTCTTCCAGCGGTCTCTTTTGTCATTTTCAAATGAGCGGTCTAATGGTTCTCATTCTATTGTTAGAGGTGAGGACTCTGAATTGTTCCGATAAGTGAGCCTCACTCTCTTCTTCAATACTTGAAGAAAAAAATTGTATGCTTATCTTCGAAGACTCTGTTTCCTGCCATAGAGTGAATGGGTCCGCAAATGCGCAACGTGTCATTCTGTCCTCTCAAAAGTGCAAGGAAAGGGGGAGGGAAGGGGTAGTGATGGCGCAGTTTGTCGACGAGGGGGCATTTTGCACTTTTGCTACCTCCCATCGACGTGTCGGCCTGTCTAGACAGCCTCTTCTCGAGTTGACAGGTTTTAACAAGATGACTTGACTACCTTGTTCCAGCTGCACAAGTGTTCACAGGTTTCGCCAGTGTAAGACATGTAAACTGGAACTGAGGAAGCAATGATAGTACAAAATGCCCCCCGTCGACAAACAGCGCCGGTAGTGATATTCGGGTGCAGTTTCTCAACACCACCCACGGCCAGTCGCCCGCCTGAACATGGCCAGGCGCGCTACTCCTCTGCGCCCTCTCACTTCTGGTTGTCCTCTAGCTATGACTGCAGGTGTCGCTGCGGGAGTATTGACGTAACTGTTGCACATTGAGGATAGCTCGGGTAGAGTGGGGAGACGGCACGTGGGTATCACTACCCTCCAGCCCCTTTGCTGTGCATTCTTGATGATGCAGCACGCTATTGCAGCAGCAGATCCATTTACCTCGCGAATGCCAGTGACTTACTTACCGTTAGTAGGTGAACATACTTCAGCGACTGCAAATTAGCCGTAAGGAGTGTAGAGAAGGGAAGCAAATAGCTCGTAGGCAGTGAGAAGCGATCAATGCGGAGAAATCCACTAGTTCTGAATTCTGCTTTCCAACAAACTCATCTATAGAGAATGCTGGGGTTTCTCGGGGAGTCTCTCCGCTCAGATGAGAATTTTGAATTTCTCGAGAACTACTCAGCGGGGATAAGTATGACCTGATTAGCACACAGTGCATGCCCACCACGCTTTATAAAATGGAAACCTAGTGCACTTTGTACGTGGACCAGCATAATGAGGGAATGAGCTCTTGGCTACGGTAGTGACGACGCACCGGACTGCGAAATTTCTAATTCTAAGTAGTTGCGGACGGTTTGCTGGTAGAGGAGCGTGCCGGGAATATTTCGCTTTGGAGGTTTCACTTATACACGTTGTCACCCTGTACTCCGTATGCGATGTTTTTTTTTCCTTTTCTCACCTGTACAGAAAGCTTCCTTTCATAAAAGTGACTGTTGTTTCAACTGGTGGACACCACCACAAATCCTCATTACAGATATTGTGACTGAAATCAGTGTGTGCAATCACATGCGTGACTGGAGATGTCGAGCGCAACGTACAGCTAGGCGCACAAAGTATTAACCATGGAAGATGAACATGAGGCTTGCTATGTGCCGAGGAAAAAGCTGTGTTTATGCTGTGGAAGCTACTCCGTGGAACAGAACAAGTTGCTACCGCTGGTAGGCCAAACTGGTCATACCCAGGTTGGTCGAAAGGCATGGACAAGTAGGGTATGATCTTTACCGCAAGGAAAGCGATAAAGATCATCCCCTACTTGTTCTTTATCACTTTCATTGCGATAAAGCGGTTGTTTTCATTGCGCAGTTTCACGACGCCTAATCCAGCAGTCTGCTTCCCTCCTACTTCTCCGATGTATCTCATCCTTGAGGACAGTGGCGTGCGCTGGTGGGCGGTGTTGGACGCTGCGGCAAGTATGAACGCAGGCTTATTGGCGTTAGTCACCTCGTGGGTAGTTCTACAACGGTATCCATGATTGTTCAGAATTTCCTATGAATGGCATCTTACGATTGTGGCACGCGCTATTTTTACCCTTGTCGTTATCTGTTTTCGTCTGTAACGTGTCTAGAATCCACAAAATAATGACAGCTTTACAGTGCGCTCTTATTGGGCTAGTTACACGTGGTAACTAGTCTTGCTCAAGTTATTCACAGAGATATGGGAATGAGGTTGGAATCAGCAGAAGTTCAAGCGGTATGTTTGTGTTAAGAAGGATTTTTTTCGAGACGTATGTTCGTTCTTGTATTTTTTTTCAGATTTTGAAACAATTTATTATTAGCGACGATGATTTGCTTACCATTAGCGGTAAAATAGAAGCAGAAATGAAAGCTGGTCTTGCCAGTGTAGACGGGTCTTCAATAGCTATGTTGCCTTCTTATGTACCTGCATTACCGGATGGATCAGGTGAGCAGTTTTGATGGGGATTTTTGACTCAGAATGTATTAACAAAAGGTGTTTTTGCCTGGAAAATGAACGCTTCTTGGCACTTATGGGCTAAGCGGGCATTTCACCGGTTTTTGCATACCGGGAGGCCATTTCATTAAGACCTGTGACGTAAAGCTGCAAAATGGTACAAGCTCCATTTGCTGTTCTGTGTAGTCTTGTTCGGTTTGGTTACTGGGCGTTTCAGAGGGTTTAAAATGAATTTGGCGCAGCGCCAGCCTACTTTCCAGCAACTGCCCGCTGCACTTGCCCGCTTCAGAAGCTGGTCAAGAACTGATTGTCGCACTGTCGCTACGCCAAACTCAGAAAGCTTCACCGCCCCCCCCCCCCCTTCCTGAAACGACCCAGCATCCGCTGCAAACAATTCTATATTCGAAACATTGGGTTTTTAGTAGTGTTCAAGAATACTTGTTCATGGCACCCCTCATTTCGCTGTATGCCTACTTTACCTGTAGAATTACGAGGGGTGTTCTATGTATGCTCGGCACAGGTATGAAGGAAAAGGCAGAAATAAAGGCTGATTGAAAGTTTTTTTTTTTCGAAGTAGTTCTCCATGACCTCAATATATTTGTTTGCTGTTGTTTGTTTGGAAACTTCAGTAGTCTCAAGAAACATTTTTCCTGCGACCCCTAAAACGTGCGTTGATCGCCGCCTTCAGCTCTCCATCTTCAGAAAAAACGAAGAACTTTTTCTTGGTTGGAGAACAAGCAGTAATCACTAATCATTTTTCAACTTTCTTTTCATTTTTCTCAATTTTCTTTCCATTTTCCAAGTACTATCGCATCAGTCATTCTGGTCTTCTTTTCATAACTTGAATAGCATTGATGATAACTAAATGAAATTTTATATTTATACCCTCAAGGTGTACCTATGGAAATGAATAATATTCCTTCGTCACTGCAAAATTACCCCAATACCGAGAATACGTTGAACGGCCCTTGTGCCTAAATGTGCTCCGTGCATCTTAAAGACAGCGCCCGCGATGGACTTTGGCAGGTTTCAGGGGTCACATTTGCTAGAACAGGTGGCCAATGAAGCACTAATCAAAAAAAGCAGGAAAAAGGTGTGGAAGAGCGTGAAATAAGACCCTATGAAATTTAAGGCATGTGGACGAGTTTCGCAAACTTCTGGTGAGTTCTCCAATACACGTCGCCGCCTCGGAACTCTAGAAATTCAGCGTATATCAATGCCAGCAAGCATTGATAACTGTCAACCAGTCGGGGCGGGATTAACAGGACAGGAGGCGTCAGCCCGGCTCTGTTGACTCCGCCCTCGTCAACCAATCGATTTCGAGCCGCAAGAGTGGGATTTCTGCTGTGATTGCGGACTCCGCGTTCGTTTTCAATGGAGGGTTTTTTCACTTTGGTTGATCGCGGACGCTGCCTTTAAAGACAGCCCGCGCTCAAGTAGTACATGGTCGTCCTTCCTTGGGCAGGTAGTTCAGCCCCCAAGCTAGATACTATCTCACTCTCGCGACTCCTCAGCGAGCGAGGAGCGAGCTAGAACCGCTCAAAGTTCTAGTTCTAACGCCTGCTCAGTTGGACCGCCTCACTAGCTAGCTGCCCTCTGAAGCCGCTCAGTTGTTCCTTGTTGGGACGGCAGTCATTAATCGGAACTGCATGTATTTTTTTGCTGACCGCGCTCGTGCTCGTAAATAATTCTGCTCTCCTTCATCACATTTTATTCATTGGGAGCACGTACAGTCAACAGCAACCCATCTCTAAAGGTAAAACGCGTAAACATCACGAATGAGGCATTCTGTGGTGCAAAAGCCCGACGCACTTCACTACACTAAAACATGCTCGCTACCGTAACCCTAAGTTCGGACGCCGGCTTTTTAAATGTTTTCTTTTCAAGAGTTTTTCCTCTATGTTTCTGTTGTTTTTTGTTTTCTTTTCTTCGCATTCGATGATATCCACTACTGGGAGATGTGACAAAGTGATTTGTGAGCCAGGGCTTGCACAGAGACCGCAGGGAGGTGTGACTGTCAGGGCGCGATTTTGTTTATGGTGTTCTTGAGGGCTCTTGTTTCTTTTTTCCTTCATTGAGGAATCGCGGGAGCTGTCTTTAAGTTAGTCCACGCTCCACCCATCCCACAGTTGAACCGGCCCTCCAGAAAACTTATCCGATTTCCAGTCGGACATGCGGGCAAAAAGGCTTGCAGACGACTTCTGTTTTAGCGAGGCTCCTAGGATTCCAAACCACCCACCGCAGACGCGAAGTATTTGGTAGACGTTTGGGAATAGCTATACCCGCTTAATTCTATCTAGGTCGCCACACGAATGAATTCCATCACCTGCCCCGAAGGTCCTTCCTATTGGTTGAGGGAAATCGTCGTCCCCACCTAGCAATCGTTAACTCATCCTCTACTGAAGACATGTCCCGCCGTTAGGAAGGTTTCATCGACAGATGACTTTCCTAACTGCGGGACGTGCCTTTAGTAGAGGATGATTTCCTCCTCTGGTGTGACGGCTTTCTTTAGCCCCCTCCTCCACCCACCCTACTTTCCATTTTTCCAAATTTTCTCATTCTTTACCTCGTAGTTTTTTTCTTTGGAGAATTCTCCACCTTTCTTTGCCAAAAATTTGCGGTCGAGGGAAAAAATGGGGTTATAGAGCACAGGTGAAATGGGGGGAAAAGTGAGAAAAGTCATCGGCTATAATCATTTTTCTCAAAGGAAACTACGACCTCCAGCGTTCGATGAGCCCCGCAATTTCAAGTTCCAGCCTTGTGCCTTATCTATTGTATCACAAGAAAAAAAAACTTGAGAAGTGGGGGAGGAAATTGATGGTAATTGAGGCCATTTATCATTCAGCTTTTTTTCTTTCACCTCCGCTTTTTTCAGTCCGTGATAGATTTTGCGCGCTCGCATGTATTGATTTTTTGTCGTTCAGTTAGTTTTATTACAGAGGAAGGCAAGTATGTGGCGATCGATCTTTCTGGCAAAAATTTACGTATAATGTTACTCACGCTTAACGGTAAAGGACGTGAACCGGCCGCTGTTAATAACAATTATATAGTACCAAATCATGTGATGAAAGGCACTGGTGATCAGGTGCGTGATGTTACTTAATTTTGAATTACATTTTTATCTGGAAAAATAGTGGAGTTACAATACTGCTTTTCATCCTCATTGGTTCCAGAGGGAATACAAAGAATTATTCACCGTTTCTTCCTTGCTTTCTTTTCTACTGTGCAGAAGTCTGGGAGCTCAGGTATGGTACTGGGGCTCTCCAGGCACGCTTATACGTTGGGCAACCCCGAGCGGGGTCGTATTTGGTCGGTCAACGGAGAGAAATTTGCCTAGAAACTTTTTGATAGTTGATTTTGTCTCACGCGCTATCCACGATGTTGGGACACTCCCGCTGAGGACGGGGTCGTATTTACTCGTCGCTTTGAGGTCTTTGGAAAAAATTTTCTCTAGCGGCAGGTGATGTTTCACCTTCCCAGCAGTGCTCTTTATACGGTAGGGAATGTTTCACAGTTTTACCTGGTTATTAAAGGGTTATTTCGACGCTACCTTTGTTGGAGGAGGCCACGCGGCAACATGAGGCGACGGCGACTCTGGTTGTCCGCTCCATTTGAACCTGAACCTTGTGGGAAGAAGAAGTCTCTTCTTCGGAGAAAGGAAGAGCGCGAACGATCAAAGTCGCCGTGGTCGCCCTGTTGTAGACGCTTGAAATTTTGAAACTGTGACAGCGCCGTATTTACTGATTGATTGGGTGGGCAACGATGCAAGTGCCCATCTGTTAGTCTTCTAACTTTTTGGTCTCTTCTCTATAAACTTGAGTGTTCTCCAAATGTATTTGGAAATTTACAGCTGTTTACGTTTATTGTTAACTGTCTGCAACGTTTCCTGCAAGAATTTGGTCTAGTCGAAGCAAACTTACCCATTGGTAAGTCCAGTTAACGATAGTTTTACCGCATAATGAGCATAATTGAGTTACTGTTTGCGTAGTTTTGAAACATTGTTTATCAGGTTTCGTCTTTTCTTATCCATGTGAACTGCTGTCTATTCGATCCGCACGACTCTTATGGTGGACGAAAGGTTTTGACATCAAGGATTGTCTGCGGAAGGATGTTGTTCAGCTGTTAGAGGAGGCTCTTGAAATGAATATGGCAAGTTTTTCAACTTCTCTTTTTAGAAAAGTACTTCTCTTTCAGTGTTCAAAAGTAGTTTACAGCGACTTTGAATTTTCTTCTATGTTTCCAGTCGACGAAGGCACAGATCAAAGCAGTCATGAACGATACAGTGGGACAACTTGCGGCAGCCGGTCACAAATATGGCCCTGAATGCACGATCGGTGTTGTTATAGGTTACGGGTCAGTTTTACGCCCAAGACTGCTTTTTTCCTTTATCAGGCAAAGTTGGCCGCAATGTATGACCCTGTCATTTAAGATGCAATTCGTCCTACCTGGAAAAGACTTCCCGCATCACGAAATTTGACGCAAAGGCTAAAGGTTACAAACATCCTAACATGGTTGTTGTCACGGAATGGGAAGAATTTGGTTCGAAGGTGAGTTGAGTGTACACTATCGCGTGTTCTGTGTTCTTTCACCCCCCCCATTCGTAGCTCGAGCGTGATCCGTAATTCTAAGTAGAATTGTCGCAAGAGTGCCGAGTTAAGGCAAAAATCAGACCTCGGACTGGGCTCGAACCCCATCTCCAGCTTACTGTGCGGTTGTGTCATCCGTACGCTACTGAGGTGGCTCCCATCATCTCAGCTCAATCTGCTTGAGTCCCTCCGAAGTCTGACTTTCGTCCACAACTCGGTACTCTTGTGATAACTATCGGAACCGCGTATTGCGGCGTAAAACAGCTGTTATCATACTTAAGTACTTTAGAACTTATAAAAGTCCTCAGCCTCGCGGTTCACTGCCGATATAGGCTAACAGCTTTAGAAGTGTGAGTGCTGGAAGCCAACTGCACAAAAATCCTTTGAGTAGGGAAGATAGTTTCCCTTTTTGCGTAATGGATAAAGCAACCGCCTGGTAAGCCGGAGATGCGCGGGCGCGAGTCCTCTACGAGATCTGGCTTTTGCCCATAGCTCAACACTCTTGTGATAACTTTCGGAGCCAGCGCTGCGGTAAAACAGCAGCTACCAACAAACAAGACGGCTCAAAGTAGTCTTTATAAAGTTGGGGGGGAGGTGGGGGGGGGCATTTTGCATTACGACTTCCCATCGACGTCGACCCATCTAGACAGCCTCTTCTCGAGTTGACAGGTTTTACCATGATGGCTTGACGAGCTTGCTCCAGCTTCACAAGAGTTCACAGGTTTCACCAGAGTGAGACTTGTAAACCAGAACTAGTGAAGCAACGAAAGTGCAAAATGCCCCCCCCCCGTCGGCAAACTGCGCGCTGATTCTGTTTTATCAATGCATAATTCTGGACATCCCCTGCTCGGTTATTTCAGCACGATACATTTTGCTTCACTTATTATTGTTGTTAACTACGAATTAGACAACTAGTAGTCAATAGACGAAGTGCGGCTACTATTCAGTAGAAATAATTTAGATAGCGTATGGGAATGGTCATGTCGTGATGGACGCGGTTAAGCGAGGGGGAGGAGACACTCTGTACTTTTGCTGCTTCACTCCTTTTTACAGGTCTCCTGTCAACTTTTGTAAACTCACAAAATCGCTCTAGATGTGTCGACACGTTGATGTGAAGTGGCAAGACTGAAAAAAGCCCCCCCCCAGTCGCCGCATTGCCCCTCATGTTGTCAGAGTCAGGAATAATGGTAAGGTATCTAGACTAGTAACTGTCTCCATCATCTGCGCGAACACTTTTAGTATGGCTGTTCGATGTAGCTGCCATGTGACTAGTTTCTTTTCATCACCCATCTATTGTTGACAACAGTTAAGTGACAAGCTTAACAAAACCGGAAAGCTTCACGAGAACGTTCTCTAATGTTATCGATTTTTACACCTCTTACGTGCAAATACGTCAGGTATTTCCGCAGTGTAACCTCACTTTTTTGGGAGACAACCACGTGGCAAAGCTCTTCTCGCTGCCGCTGAATGATTACATGAGAGGGAGCATTGTGCGAGCCCTCAATTCGCGCATTTTTGTGGGGATGGAGTGGAAACGGTTCTCTCCATTCAGTTGGAGTACTAGTAGTTACCGAAGTACTTATTTTCTTGAAGGTTGCATGAGATGCTTTAGAACTTTACCAGTTGCTAGGGGAGGGGGAGGGGTTGATAGGGATTCCGCATTAGACCTGTTTATACGTTCAAGAGTCGTTCGTCATTCAAGAATTGAAAATGCTAGAAGAAGATTGGATACTTATCGATTGACCCTATTTAATCTTCGTCGCGGACACTCCAATTCCTCAATATCGCAAGTTGTGAATGTGCGCGGTCCAAATTTTCTGCAGTCTTCACTCCTAATGAAGGCCTGACAGTGATGCCGATCTAAATGCTTCCGTGAGCCTGTCTACAGCGAAGGAAAGCTTGACGTTCTTCCTTCTTCGTCCAACCGTCGGCTCTTGGGTATCCACTGATTCATCAGTAGAAAAAGTGGAGGTTGTGGTTGGGTTGGTCCTCATGGAGCCCCCTGTTCAGCATAGAAAGAGAACCAGTTGTACTCGACTGGTAAAAAGCCGAGCTTTCAAACGTCAAAACCGTGTTTGTATTAGTGCTGTGAACAGGTCCCGATGCTGAAGCAACAAGGTTTTGTTTACCTTCATCAAGAAACTGCTGCATAGCTGATTGTGGAGGGGTAAAACATGGAAGGATAAATTTGATGAACGGTGATGATTTTCTTCGAGGTGCTACATGCATTTCATTCTTCTAGAGTCGTAATGGCATTTTTGTTGCGATTTGGCTCCTACAGTGACTTCAGTGGGCCAACCGATGTAAAGTAGACGTTGTTATCCTCAGTGGTACTCACATGCCGTGTGTCCTGGGAGGTCCTGTCCATGTTTTCCTCAGGTAGGGACTGAACGAGTTGGGGAATTTGGAGAGTCGTAGAATCTGTGCGACCGACCAATGGTATGTATCTTTACTTCCAAGTCGCGGCGAGCGGGGCAGAACAGGCCAAGCAGGCAGGGTCACAGTTTTCAAACAGGACGCGACCCTCCCCCTCTATCTCTACCTGCGCCTCCAAAGTCAGCTAGCTAAGAAATGCTCTCCTAACCTCTTAATAGATATAGCTGCGGAAAAAAAACTTGGAACAAGCCACAAAATCACGTTTTAAGTAGTTCTGAAGCTCTTCTTCAACAGCAGTACAGCGGAAAGGTGAGTTGGTAGCGGAAATTCAACAAGGAAAAAAGTAGTCAGCTTTCTGAATTTGGTTTACCTACTACTGGATTGGATCAGAGCCTTCATCATCCATTGAGTCGACTCAAAGGAGCTGCAGGGATATCCACGGATATTCGAATGCAAGTTCTCAGTCGTTGTTGCTGGTCTTCTTTCCTTTTAATGCTTCAAGTCATCTCAATGATGCCTGACGGGGTTGAGGAGAGCTTTTACTCGGTCATTTTGTCATCCGTATGCTTGTGTGGATGCTGAGAGTTAGATTTCAGGTGCTTCTATGTATGCTTACTTGGGGTCGTTTTTACATGTTTGAAAACATTTCTCCCAGACATACTCTATCTGCATCATTTCGCAATATTTCGGTACACAAGTCAAAGAAAACCAATAGTAATAGTAATAGTAATAATAATAATAGTAATAGTTTAAAAG